TCAAGGGCACTACTTCTCTTCTTCCTTCAACCTCCCGGTGAGCTGACAATTATTTGCCTCGTTGTCCCTTGCTCTCTCCTCGCCTCACATTCGACGAGGATCTGCCTGAGCCCTCGTCGGCGAAGCCACGACTAGCCATGACATCCTCGTCTCGTGCTCGGGGTCCAATCCAAGCGTCTATCACATCTGAAGGGCCCCCCCCCACACCAGTTAACCTGTTACCACACCTTCGTTGGCGGTGGCCCCATCTCCGGCATGCTCCTGGCGAGGCCTCTCCGAGACATTGTGAGTCGCGACCAACAACATCGCCATGTCTCAATCTCGGGGTTTTGCACGGGAATTAGTTGTACCAACAATTTTTTCTTCATGCGGGTCAAGAAAAGCAAACGTGTTTTACTATTAACATATGTGTTGCATATATCTTCATTTGTCTTGGTAAATGACGTGAACTAAGTACCTACCATACCTATTTCTCAAGGCTCCGAAAGTTGGTTACTCCTTCAAACATGTTTGTCGACATCTTGACAAGTGTAGGAAAATGAAGCTTTTGTTCATTACACTATATTTGTGTAAGCAAACGCTATATTTGAGTTAAAGGAGAAGAAATGTTTTCCTTTGTATTATTTGAGGAGAAACCCAGTTCCTTCTAGGTATCATGTTACTTATTTTTTGAAAGACTAGGTGCTAATGTTATTGTTACTGTTTCTTAAATATTTTGAAATTAAGCACCTTCTTGAAGTCCGAGAGTTTATTCTGATGAGAATTGATCAACAACATAATACTCTCTCCGTCCGAAAATACTTGTCAGAGAAATGCATACAAATGGATGTATTTAGAACTAAAATACGTCTAGATATATCCATTCCTCCGATAAGTATTTCGGGGCGGAGGGAGTATTGTATTTCAGAGTTTCTTAGTGACTGTAATCCTATTATACCAGGGAATAAATTCTCAGTTTTCCCTAAAAAAGAAAAGGAGGGAATTTCCAAGCAGTGCATGTGCACTTACACAATTGGACAAGAAGCAAAGGATTGAAGTGATAAGTCCTGTCTCCCTTTTCTTGTCACTTCCCTGATCTCAGCACATAACCTCTACATATACGCCTCCATCCTTTAATCTCTCCGCACCAACGAACTTCAAAAACTATTCTCAACACTTGTGCACACGCAAAGATTCCATGGGAGCGAAGCTTTCCTGCTTTTCCAACCACGGAGGCAGCCTCTCGCAGCAGCCACACCAGCCGGCGCCTGTCAGGGTCGTTGCCGCGGACGGCTCGCTGAAGGAGCTCCCGGCCAGCCCACGCGTCACCGTCTCCGACGTCCTCGGCGGGAGCGCCGCGTCCTTCTTCGTGTGCAACTCCGACGCGCTCTACTTCGAGCAGAGCCCTCCGGCGCTGGCATCCGGGGAGGTACTCCGGCCGGGGCAGATATACTTCGTGCTCCCGGCGGCGTTGCTCGGGCGGCCGCTGTCCAGCGCCGAGATGGCCTCGCTTGCGGTGCGCGCGAGCTCGGCGATCGCGGCCAAGAAGCCGCAGCAGAGGCGCGGGCGCCGCAGCGGCGGGAGGAAGAAGGTGCGCGTCATGCCGGTGCGCGAGGAGGTGGAAGACGGCGAAGATGTTCTGCTGAACGAGAAGCTTAACGAGCGGACGCTCGGGGAGTTTGCGGTGTCGCCGAAGAGCCAAGAGAAGATGGCCGCCGTGGCGGCGCGGTCGCGGCTGAAGATGAAGCTGAAGCGCGCTCTGAGTATCATTCAAGAGGTTGCTGAGTGAAGCACATCTCTAAAAGATACTGTAAATACTAGTAGTAGTATTTTCTATTTTGTTTTTTGGTTTTGTTTGAAGCCATATTTTAGGTTTAAGCCCACATATTTAATTGGTTTAGTAGATTTAGGATAACAAGAACATGTATTCTGGGAAAGGGTATGTGAATATGTCCCATTGTGT